ATAGATAAGCGTGTAAGTAATTATAAATAAGTAATAATATATCTTACTAGTTATTAGCTTAACTACTTATGCTTATTAATAAGCGTCTTATATAGGTCTAGCGTTATCTTACTTATAGATAAGTAGTTACGTAACTATAGCGTAGTCTTATACTATAATTCTACAACTATAACGTATAATTCTTTAAAGTAATTACGCTAACCTCTAGAGTGCCTCTTAGGTTAGATCGTAACACTTAAGTTCTTAGTACCTACCTACTACTATGTTAATAGTTAGGCTAATAAGTAAGGTGTTACTAGTTAGGCTAATAAGCAAAGTATTACTAGTAAGCTTAACTGCGTTATACTAAGAGTTATTATACTAAGAGTTATTATATTAAGTAGTATAGTAGCGATTACAAGGTATAACTAGTCTTCTAGACTACTTAAACTAAGGCTAAAGTATATTATACTATAACGTGTAGTAGGCTACTTAATAGTAAGGTCTTAAAGTTATTAGTATATAGAAAAATGCTATTTCTACTATAGTTATTATCTTAGTTAAGAGAAAGAATATTAGCCTACTAGCTAGGCTTCTCTAGAGGTTTCTATAAAAGGCTTTTTTCTATAGAAGGCTCTTTTTACTACGCTAGCTAACTATTATAACTTTATTATGTAGTGTTTCTTCTCTAGAAGCTTCTATAGAGAGCTACTTAATATTATAACTTTATTGCGTTATATTATTAACTATAAGATTACTTAGTATTACGCATAAGAATATTTATATAGTATTATAACTACATTACGTTATAATTATTATTATTATTATTAGTCTAACGCGAGGTCGCGTAGAGTTTAGAAGTTTTAAAGTTTCTTATATAACAGCCTCTAATTACCTTATTTTAAATAGCTAATTAGATCTTATAAGCTTAACTAATTAGCTTTTACACTTCTATCTTATATTTATTAGCTAAAAGACTCTGCTTTGTAGAGAATAAGTAGTAAGTAGTATATTTAATAAATAAGTATTATATATACTTATTTAAGTACTTAAAAAAAGTAAGTATAACTTTATATTTTATATTTTTTAAGCTAAGTATAATAAGTAAAGTTACTAATAAATACTAAGTATTTTATAATAAGTTTACTAGTAAAATATAAGTTTAGTAAGTAGACTAAATAAGTATAAATATTAAAGTAAATAATTATAAAAATAATTACTATTATAAAAAAAAAAGTATAATTAGTATAATATATATATTATAAAAGTAATAAAAATACTATAGAATACTTTATATACTTTTACTTTTAACTTATTACTATATATATAAAATTTAAAGCTTATAGTTTAGTATTACTATTTTATAGTACTATAATAATAACTTAAAAGTAACTTAGAAATAATAAGCTAACTATAACTCTTATATTTTATATAACTTATATATAAGAAGATACTCTACTAAAGAGAGAAGTATTACATCTCTAAGAACCTTAGTAGGTGAAGTATGCATTTAAATAACTGTTCTGAAGAGAAACGGGTACAGGCAGTAGTACAGGCTGAACGTGATTACTCTTCTTCGTTTGACGCGATATCTTGGGAGTTTCGACACTGGGCAGGCGTGTTCGCGAGACTAGTCTCGATGCAGCTTAGACCCAAACAAACCGTTCCTTCCCGTCTCCATCACGGCTTACAGTGACCTTACCACATCCTCATGTGTCAGGTACTGTGGCGCATCGACAATTCTTCCGCCCACTCATCAGTGCCTAGGTGTCGAGATCATTCCAATAAGTACAGCCACCGTACTCCTCTTTTTGACGAAGATGGCGATCTTCTGCCTCTCAAGTTTATCCCATTGGTGGTCTTTTTCTCCACTGTCAGCCAAGCATTCTGGACGACGCTGTCAAACAGTAGCGCCGACTTGTATATTGTATTCTTCTTTCAGTTGGCTTCACGAACTCTTTCGAGACTTCAGCGCTAATGCAATGATCGAGGGCCGTCGGCTTTTGAGGCTTCCCCAGGTATGCACCCCAGGTTCGCGATGCATATTCGGTCTTCAAGCCACAACCACGTACAAGCTCACGAGACCGATATACATCGACTTCCTTGGTGGATTATGGGGGCTTTTTCGGGCATCCCCTGGAGGCCAAGGCGAAAGTCGTATATTCGCGGAGAAACTCCACATCTGGCATTCTAGAGTTGGTGCCGCGACTCACAGTACCTATTACAGGGCCACCAAGTTGGCGATCATGGAGCCTGTACAGATCCAAGTTGCCTAGATCATCTAGTATAAAGATATCCCTAAGACCATCAACTATCATCACCTTCATACTTTCTTTCATCCGATCAGAGTAGACCTCTATCCATTCCTTCACGTTCTTTCTTCTACCTTCAGCTTCGTCAAACTCCCAAACAACACCAAGATGCGCTTCATTGAGATCGCCACGGTGGTCATGACTGCTGCTTCGACCGCGTACGGTGCACCAATGGAAAAGCGCGCTGCAGCTGTCGACGAGCTCGTTGGATTCGCCCAAGGCACCACCGGAGGAGGCAGCGGAGCTGGAACCACCGTCACTTCCTGTGCTGAGCTCACAGCTGCAGCTAAGGCCGGCGGTGTGATCAAGATCAAGGGCATGCTCACTGGGTGTGGCATCATCCGTGTCGGTACCGCAGGCACTTCCATTCTCGGTGTTGGCAAGGACGCCGGTCTCACAGACAGTGGCCTCCAGGTCTTCAAGACGTCCAACATCATCATCAGAAACCTGAAGCTCTACCGTGCGCCAAAGGGAAAGGATCTCATCGACATCGAGGCCTCAACCAATGTCTGGGTCGATCACAACGACTTCTCTAGTGTGGGTGTGACTGGCGACAAGGATACGTACGATGGCCTGCTCGACGCCAAGTCTGGAGCCGATATGCTGACCTTCTCCTGGAACAAGTTCCACGACCACGTGAGTGTCCATCACACTCTCAAGCTTCTATGATAGTCAGTACTAACGCCTATTAGTGGAAGGGCTCTCTAGTCGGTCACTCTGACAACAATGCCTCCAAGGACAAGGGCAAACTCCACGTAACCTACCATCACAACTCTTTTACCGGCATCAACTCGCGTCTGCCCTCGATCCGCTTTGGTACCGGCCACATCTACAGCTCTTGCTACTCAGGTGGTATCTCTGGTGTCAACTCGCGCATGGGTGCCCAAGTCTTGGTTGAAGCCAACTCCTTCACCAACGTCGACAAGGCTGTTGTGACCAACTTGGACTCTGACGAGGAGGGCTTTGCGGTTGAGAAGGACAACATCTTCACCAACAGTCCTACTCAAATCACGCAGAAGGGCTCATTCGCGCCGAGCTACAAGTACACTGTGGACCCAGCGGCCAGTGTTTGCGCTATTGTGCAGAAGAGCGCTGGTGTGGGTGTTGTCACCTTTTGAGTCATGATGAGGAATGAGGGGATACAGCCTTAGTAATACATACTGGCTGGCCAGAGGGAGGAGCGTTAAAGCGGTTGCGTGTTTCGGTCCTGTACATAGCTTTACTCGTGTATATACTTACATTTCATCAATCAAACTGTTGGTCCTAAACATGTTTCAATATTAGATATGAGCATCAATAGAAGCTCTCGCAGCGTTATGCATGTGACGATTGATTGTAGTATTGACGTTTGGGTATAGTTGATTCTCTTCTGGTGCGCCCCGATCTCTTCTTCCCCACTTGTTCCAGCATGCATGTTGCATTTGTCCTAAATTAACCAGGGAACACCCATACGATCGACATGAGCGTGGCAATAACGCCCACGATGACCAACACTTCGGGTCCAGCCTTGATGCCAACAGGTAAGCCCTCGGTAGTAAATTGTGCCACAATCCCCTGTGTAAAGTTCTTCTCCGCCTCCGCTAGTGCGATCTCTGTCCAGTTTCCGCATCGGTTGTTCAAATCCGGATCGGCCGTGAGCGCAGGTAGCTTCGCGATGGCAGCATCCATCATGCGCGCGCTGGTCAGCGTTCCGACATTAGCCTTTTGCATAACGACTGTACGGTAGGAGCCGTTGGCGCCCACTGTCGACATGTTGGCTGTGCGTTCGTAGTCGAGACATAGATCGGCTTGCGAGGGTGTGGCGGAGACTTGGCGAACTTGGAGTTTGGTATTGAGGAGGCCGCCGGGGACGATAGGAACGGCGTTAGGACCTGCAGCCACTAGACGGAAGACCGAGAGGGCGAGGAAGAGACTTGTGAGGAGTGAAGAATGCATGATGTCGTTGTCGATGTTTTCGTGAGCGGATTCCTCGGGAGTTGGACAACAAGAAAAAGAAGTAAAGTATTATTAGGTGAGAGTATTTTGGTGACCGGCACGCCTCAAGAAGTGAATGAATGGACGAACGAAAAGGAAAGAAAGATCGTTGGTGGTGAGGCTTGGTACCACTGCCTGAGGTATACCAGAAGCTCGGGATAGGAAAGAAGGCGACAAGGTAGACAAAAAAAATCAGGCCACTTTACCGTGATATATGAGGCCGCAAGAACGACAACGGCTGTCGTTCATACTGCGCTGCGACGTGGATTGCCGGATAAGGGGTGGTTATGAGGCTCATGGTGTGTCAGGTCACACGGAGGCTCTTAAGCGCCCCTAGGAAGGCGCTAGGGTGCCTCGTGGCATTCAATGGATCGCGCGCACTCGCCGTTATTGGCATAGGCACCAGTGGTCAATGGCGGAGCTACAGAGTGTGGCTGCAATGAATTAGTTAGTCGCGATGGAGACTGTGGCGGTAAGATGGGTTGCGGCGTGATGATGAAATGATTGGGGAGCGGCGTTAGTGCGGATGATCGTCATCCGCGCACGGATATTTTATGCATTAGAGTCCAGCGACAGCCCCAGAAATCTCCTTCTTTGGCGTCCTCAGTCTGATATGTGACAGCCGCTGTCATTGTGCGAAACGGCAATTACTTGATCAGAGCCACTGTCCCTTTTCAGGCCGCGCGACGCGGCATATACACGCTCCCAACTCGATAGCTCAATAAGCTAGCATCATCACGACACAAACGCGTCGAAGACCCCCGTGGTGTCCACACTGAATTCCCTTGACATAAGCATGTCCCAATCCTCCGTGAACTCTGGTGAGAACTGGAAATCAAACCCTTCCATACCGTTGCCCTCCATACCCGTAGCACCAAGAGACGGTTCCTCACACCCTGCCAGAGCTTCCAGAACCGGTATGCAAACCTGAGCAGCGTTTTCCAAAGCTTCCACCAACAGTGCAGGGAATTCCGATCGCTCTACATGGTTTCGTTCCGCGTCCATACAAGCGCCGATGAGCCGTAAAAGAAGGTAGCCCTTGATTCCTGTTTCGCCGGCTTGTATGCATCGGAGATACCAATCGGCAGCCTCATCGACGATGTTGTGCAGTGATAACGGCATCGCGTCTAGATCATCTTCGTCTTCCTGTATTCGCATGCGCAATTCAGCAGCCAGAAATGTCGCTCCGTGGAAGGTATACATTCGGAAGAAGCCTGCTGTGCACCTACACATGCGAGCAAGGTCGACCTCACTCGAAGGACATGAATTACCGCCTGAGTTCGGACAAGCCATACTCCAGATCTTGAGCGAGGAGTCTACAACAGCTTTCCTCGAAAAGGCGTAGACCGGATTCTTGAGTGCGGAAGCAAAGAACGGTAGATGTAAACAGGTAATGTAGCGCTGCATGATGAACTCTACAGCTTGAAGAGTAAACTGCGACGGGCACGAGTCGGTACGTGATGTGTATGCTTGTAGGGTGCGACGCAAAAGCTTGTGTGAAGCTCGCAGGTCCGAGTCGATACGAAGCGTCTCTTCATATGTCCCGTTCGAATTGACATTGTTCAGAAACATGAGAACAGCAAGCCGAGCCGGAAGAACTTTGCGCAGAGCTATGGCAATAGATGTATGCGTATACGCGTGGTCTGCGCTTGCGATGGGGTCCGCATCCAGAAGTTGCTCATCATCCAAGTTGCTTGGTGGGACAGTGTTGAAGTCATCCAATGAAATGAATGGCGGGCCACCTGATTCCATGCTCGTTTGAAGCGACAACTCCAGAATGGTATTCCATATCCGGCGGCGCATCTCAGTCTCTAGTGTCGTCATACCCGGCAGCTGCGATGGATCCTTGTGCAACCCGATGTATACCGCTGTTCGGTACACTGTACCTGCTGAAATCCAGACAAGCTCAGAGCCCACGTCGACGAGCTCTCTTGCAAGTAGGAGAAGGATGCTGATCTGTAGGTATTGAATACCGAGTTTTGATTTGAAAACGGGCGATGACAGCCAGGTCTGGGCTTCGAACACCCATCTCACTGCGTCGGCTCGCATAGACACTTTGTCATCGTACAACATGGCCCCAATGGCCAAGACCAGTTTCAACATCATGATGAAAGCCATGTTGGGTTCTGAATTGGCTGTCCAGATGTCGTTGTAGACGCGTTGGAAGCTCGGAACATGCAGCACGCGGTAGATAGTCTCTGTGGTTCGAAGATAGATAGCGAAGAGTTCATCGCAAACCTGCTTTGGAGGAAGGTCTCGTGTTGGTTGAGTAGGCCAGTTTGGAGAACGTTGCGACTTGATGATCCGGGCCAAAGGTTTGGCTCGGTGCAAACTTGTGTTCACACTAGAGCTCCCGCTTTGTAAATAGGGCTCCATCGTTTCGAATATATCACGGTATATTACGAACCCGTTCATCCAGTGGCTCTGGCCAAAAAGCCGGTTCTTGTGTGCGATTCCGCGCGAAATAGCTGTACCGCCAGGCATCCGAGTGTCCTCGAGAACACCAACAGTGGAGACAAAGCTACTAATCGTTTGCACAGTGTGCGTCGACGCAGGAGTCGAAGCTAATGAAGAGAAATTATAATTGGTGGTACTTTCAGCTCGGGATAACTTGTTCTCTAACTCAGCGATGCGTGCTCTCATAGTATTAAGTTCAAAAGGACTCTGGGTGTTGCTAGTATTGGGCGCTGTGACGGATGAGCTTAAGGGTATGCTAGTTATGCTCCTGGATGTGTCTTTGATGTACGGTTGGATGGGTGTGAAAGGCGCTGTGGCAGGCCTGAAGACCGATTCACCAAGTCAGTAAATATCTCATGTCAAGTCAGACACGGATGTTACTTGCCTTTTCTCCGGCACTCCAGTTTCATAGACACAAGATCCGGTCTTGCTCTTCAGACAGTTACTGCATGGCGTCTCCCGATTACAGCGTATCTTGCGCTTTCGGCAAAGTGTGCAAGAGCTGAATGCGGTTAGCACTTCATACAAGGAAGAACCTAAATAGGTATGCAGACTACAGCAAGGTGAAGACGTGCAGAGGGGGCGGCCTGACGTCGATGTAGGCTCCTCGGTGCTCAGCCTTTCCCTAGGTTGACCGGATGAACTCACATAGTGGGCCTCTTGCGTCTGCGGCTGAAGTCAGTCATTGTGCGTGTAGGTATTGTATTCGGTAAACGGAAGGTAGATCTACGGCTCGGAGGGAGTCGGTGTAAGTATAAATAATAGCGGAGCGGGGATAAGTTCTCGGATACAGCTGGATCATCTAACTAGTGGCGCGCCTAATACCCATGTACCTTACCCTGAATACGCCAAACGACGCCTTTTCGGAGTATCTGACCAATCAGCTTCCAAGAGTATATCCGATCTTGCTGGAGACCTCCCTTCTCATGACGATATGACAGGCGACAAGATTGTATATATACACCATCAGGATGATTGTTGTAGCCCTCATCAACTTCCTGACAGTCTTAGAGCCACAGATCTCTAATCCAAGCTCTTCCAATACAAAGCCAGGATGTCCGCACCAACAGCTCAACCCAGCGCGGTTGTTGGCACCAGCACTCCTTCCATTCCCTCCTACGATCTTGAGAAAGCATCGGTTGAATCAACCCACGATAACGGCCAAGCAACCATCGACGCCGAAATCGCCGCTTTGGGTCCTGCTCCTGACGGTGGCCTAACAGCTTGGTTGAACGCTCTAGGCGGCTTCTGCATCTTCTTTTGCTGCCTCGGCTTTACCTCCTGCTTCGGCGTCCTTCAACAATACTACTCTACTCATCAACTGAGAGACCATAGCATGGACCAGATTGCGTGGATAGGCAGTCTCACAAGTTTCATCCAGTTCGCTGGAGGTGTTGTCGGGGGCCCGATGTTTGATCGCTTTGGTGTTTGGGTGCGTATGCTCCAGCGGCATGACACTGATCTCGTACTGACTTAAACGGAAAGATGATGCGGCCTGCGACATTTACATATGTTCTTGGCCTCATGATGTTGTCGTTGTGCAGCGAGTACTACCAGTTCTTCCTCGCGCAGTCTGTCCTCATGGGCTCCAGCGTAGTCTTCCTTCAAACACCTGCCTTTGCAGTAATGGGACATTACTTCGACAAGCGACGCGCCGCCGCCCTCGGTATCGTGGTATCAGGGTCCTCCATCGGTGGTGTCATCTTTCCAATCGTCCTGTCCAAGCTTCTGAACGATTCGTCTCTGTCCTTTGGCTGGTGCATCCGTATCATCGCTTTCATCATGCTTCCCTTCATGATGTTTGCCTGTTTCGTCATCAAGCCGCGCATCCCACCCCGCAATACAACAGTCTTCCTTGGCGAAGCATGGAAGATGAAGCGATACGTACTGCTCGTTGCAGGATTGTTCTTCATGATGATGGGCATGTGGATACCGGTCTTCTACCTCCCGGTCTATGCCGTCAGTCGAGGCATGAAGCCTTTGCTCGCGTCGTACCTCCTCGCCATGATCAACGGGTCCTCCACGTTTGGTCGTATTATTCCGGGGATACTTGCGGATAAGCTGGGCGGGATGAATATGTTCGGTTTCGCCGGCATTGGCACCGCCATTGTGGTGTTCTGCATCAACGAGCCAACGACTAACGCTGGTATCATTGTCTACTCCGTCATGTTCGGTTTTGTGTCGGGTACGATCATATCGGCTGGCTCAGCAGCCATTTCCAAATGTACAAAGGTAATTTGACTGTACGAAATGCATAAGACATACACTGACTTCATCTCTTCACCGTTCTAGGACCCGAGGAATCTTGGCACGTACATGGGTATGGGTATGGGTGTTGCAGCATTCGCTGTTCTCGTCGGCCCTCCAATCAATGGCGCGTTCATCGATCGGTACGCCGGGTTCAAGGAAGTGTCGATTTTCAGTGGCGTGATGAGTTTGATGGGTGGCCTCATTGCACTGTCCGCTAAATTCGCCACCACGGAAGGTATCTTGGGGAAGGTGTGAAAGGGTGTGGCGAGGACTCTGTTTTGTGGAAGGTGAAGAAGATTGTTAGCCTACACGTAGCGGCTTCAGCTTGAAGGGAAGTAATTAGGTGGTCATAGATTGAATTGATTGTCATATCACAGGGTATGAAACATTGAACCCGTTACGCCGGATACCAGTAATGAAAACCTATACATCATCAGCGGCAGCCAATCCTCATGTGTAGGATGTCTTGGCAGCCGTTCTCTTCAGCTGTGTCCTTACGACGGCACATGCGCTCGTCCCAGCAGGCGCGTAAGCGTATACGGATGCGCTGTCGTTTTGGGAGCGTGAAGCCTTGTATGCGCGTAGGCTATCAGGCTCGTCTATGCCGGAATGGGCTCGTAGGTGTTGTGGGCTTGGCGGTTGGAGAAGAGGTAGTAGATGATCATGCCGACGACGGGGAAGAGGAAGACGACGAGGGCCCAGAGCACCTTGTTCGGGACGGGACGGTTGGACTTGAAGATCTCGACTAGAGCACATGTTAGCTTTGATCGATGCGCGACAACCGTGCTGTCAAGGGCGTTGTGGGTACTTACTCCACGCGATAATGTCGAGGACAAGGACAATGAATCCAATGATACCACCACCGGTGCCAGCTTGCCAGGGCTTAGCCGACTGCGCCGTAATGGGAGCTGCCTCGGCGAGCATGAACATGGATAGCTGGAGGAGCAGGGAGAGCACGAAGTTCATCATGATGGCGGTGATGGGTGATGGAAGGCTGGAATGGACAGGATGAGGCGTGAATGAGTGCAGTGAGAGAGGGAAGATGAGTGTTGCGGTGTTGACGGCTGCTGCCTTGTATATGAAAGCGGCGGGGCGGAGCTCGAGCTGTTTGATGTCCGCACGGACCTACGTCACAGGAAATCCCATTGTCACGCGACACTCTTTCAAGGTACACATGCATCATCCCGCAGGAGGGACGGTATATCACTATTCTTAACACACGCAGCGCATCTGGAGCCGTGCCTACTCCGTGCCTACTCCGCGCATTCTCATCGCCCTCCAAATAAGCAAATGAAAGGTTCGAGGCACGCGTGAGTGGCGCGTTGGCCTCAGCCACACAGCCAGCCTCGGGACCTTCTTAACAGCGAACATCACCGCTCTTCCGACTGCCTCTGCCCAATCGATCAAGCCGTAGAAGGGAATAGATCTACAAGAACGATAGAAAAAACGGCAATTATCTTGTTCAGGTTAAAACAACCTAGCTGATATCTCTGATTGACAGACTAAGTTCCCTGTTCACCCGCACGCTTCAAGGAATTGAGTCGATAGCCTTGACAGACAAACAGCTTCGACACAATCATCCAGAAGCCATTCTTCACAGCACAGCCCCTCGACGGTATCCAATCTGTCTTGCCAAAGATACCCTCCGCTGTGGCGAACTGACTGAAAAGTGCAGAGAGCACCTTCCATGCACTCTTCATTTCTCCCATCCTCCCATACATGGTGACTGGTAGACACGATATATTTCCGGGGATCTACCAAGGAGAAGATCACACCTCAACCAACGAGAGCTTGCGTCAGAAGCCTCTCCTGCCCACTCAGGTAGTTGCGTTTTTCCAACCAGCGAAGTTTCCCCTTGGCCCTTTTCGAACTCAACTTCACCTGAGCCCCCTTCAAGGCGCTGGGTACGTCCTTCGCTATCTTGCCTACATCCTCGACGTGCTTGACGACACTCTTGCCCACCTTGCCTGTTGTAGCCTTGAAACCATCCTTGCAGACGGTCTCGATGACCTGTATAGTTGATCGGCGACGGGTTCTTGGTTCGACGCCAAAGAAAGGATAGGGATCGAATGATACGTATTTTGGCGGCGGATCATGGTTGGTTACGTCGTCGAATCGGTGCGGGGATGTTTGAGGTCGACATGGAACACCGTGCTCAAGCGCTGACGCTGCCGCTGAAGAAGCGAGTGGGAGGCTGGTGGTGCGCTCATGTAAGCCGTGAAGCATGAATGGGCCAGGTCGATGCAGCACAAGGTTGTTCTCGCTCGCAGTAGCGCTTGGGAGATAAAATCCAAACCGCCGTACATCACTGACACCACCGCTGTGAGCTGACCTTCCTCGCGGCCCAGACTCAAGTACCGCTGTATGTATTCCTGGTATGTCTGCGATAGCTGCGAGGGTTCGGGCTTGAGGCGAAGGCTGAATGCGAGGAGACTCGTGAGAGAAAGGAAGGGCCGTATCGGACGAGAGGGGACTTGGCGGTAGGGTTGTGGCGTCTTGTAGTGTCATGGCGTGAAGCTCCTCTCGTAAGGCATCCACTCTCGCATGTCTTCCAATGCTGCTAGCAGGGGCACGCAGCTGCGAGCTCTCATTAAACGGCCACATTGGGGCTGCCCACCTGCTGTTGATGTTGGGCGAAGCGGGAGAAGCAGCTCATGAGAGGAGGCTGCCTGAAGGAGGGGTGAAGAGGAAAGCATTGCGGGGTGTCGCGCCATCGTTATGCATGTTGTAATTGCGATAGCCGGCTCCAGCAGTAGAGTTCGCTCGCAGTGGTTGATGTAGAGTGGTTCTGGTCCGCTAAGTCGTAGTATCCGACTTGTATCCTGCGCGTGCTAACATAACAATTCTTGCGTCGCGTCGAGACTGTCGACGGTGCTCTAGATCTCGAATGCTCTCCGGAGGCTGCCGTTCGGTCTTGTCTGCGCGTACATGGCGGGTGCGCTCGTGGGCTTGCAATGGGCGAGAGATTGGTGTTAGGGAGCGGCGGATCAACCTTGGAACCAAATGACGACAGCACCAGCTGTCTCGGTCCTCTTGGCGAAAACCGCGCCCTTGCAGCGACCAGAAGCGTTACCCTCTTGCCAACACAACACAAAACAGTACAATCACCATCGCTACGCGCTGTAGTAAACCGTACTAGGGTGATTGTGCAGATCCATATCTCAACTGACTGGAGACCTGATGTGCATCCAGCAAGGCTGTGAGTAGCATCGAAACGAGCGTAGGCGCAGGCTGACGGACGCGTCACTTTCTCGTGCAACGTATGTACCATCGCATAATGCATTCAGGATGTTCTGACGAATATTCAGACAAATTCACAGGCCGTGTAGAACTTGGCAGTATGCATCTTCACATGATCGGTAGCCCTCTTCGCCTTGAACGCCGCGGCGCGCTTCACTATACATTCCGAGGAAAGGACATTGCTGGCTCAATGAGTTGGCTCGCAGGAACCTCAGATGCTAGACATCCTTACAAGAGGAGACTCTGATGGTGCTGGTGCTGATGATTGAGCTAATGCGCATCCCTAAGACTCCTGCTACTAACAGCAAAACATGTCAGCCGCTTATGAGACGACACGAGACGACACGAGACGACACGAGAATAGGCACATCTAACCATCATACGATTAAACGGAAATAGTCTTGCGGCAGAAGTAGTCAAGGACGCCCTAGTGCTCAGTGCGGCCGGACAGTTGCTCTCTGGCAGATGAGCTACCGCCATCCATAGTATATGAATATCGCGGTACCAGCAGCCTATTTTAACTCTGCAGGTACCCCTTACCGCGTGTTGGTTTGAGAAGCAGGTAATAACCGTGCAGTACATCTGGTCTCGCGTCCTTGCGGCACAGCAAATGGCGACACTTGGAATGCATGGCACTTGTTCAGGAAGGAGCGAATTATTCGCGCAACGCCCGATGCTGCAAAGCTCTCGTCAAGGACTACAACGGCCGCCGATGTATTTGCGCAGTTTCGGAACCTTGAAAAGGACTGATTCAAAGAGAAGGCTGGTACCTAGGTAGTAGATCAGCCTCGCGGCGTTGGCATGGGCCTAGTGTTCGGATACACGGACCACCACCGGGATTAAATCAGCCGCCAACAACGGCTGCACCGCAGCACGCAAGAGTAGGATGATAATATCCGTCCATCTTATCGCCAAATTGCGTTACACAGGACGATGTCGTAAACTCTTGTAGGGCCTCCGGCAGGCTGACCGTCCTATCCAATCACCCCCGATGCTGGCTTATCATTCAGGCCAAAGCGACTATACCGCTTTGATCCTGTCTCTTATCAGCCACCAAGACCCTGAGATTCTACCTCACCCTTTGGTACAAGCGCGACCGTGGCTTACGGCCCTTGGCCCTTTGAGAAATCCAGTCCGGCGCGCTTGATTTCTTCGCATTCCTTCGCGGCACCGAATGCCAGGCCAAATACAGCCACCCAAGCCAGAAGCTCCACATTGTAAGCTCGGCTCCATCACTATGGGATTTGGAACGCCCTGCTTATCGCTGCCAAGACGGGCCATGTTCGACGTTGGGGGCACAGCAGCTTCGCATGTGTGGGCGTCAAAGGCGAGCAGGGGCTCAACGGCGCATCAATCTCGGTCCCTTGAAATTGGCGGAATGGCGTGAAAGAACGGGTGGGAAGATATATCAGTCTGGAGAGCCCCTGCCCATCCCGCCTTTGCTTTCCAGAATACCCCAGAAGTCCCAGTCCTGGTCGATATACCGACATGTCTTCAATCATGGAGCCACCACCCACCGTAAGTATCCTCAGCTAGGACGACAACCTGCCATGGAACATGAATAACAATTGTGTAGCCCGAGTTCGATCCGGCGAAGCCCAACGGCGGCAACCCAGATGTCGAGAATGTCAACCTTCAGTACACGGGCCTGGAGTTCCACTACATCTACCTCATGATTATGGCCTTCCTTGTTTTCCTCATCATACCTGGAATTGGTTTCCTCTACTCTGGTCTTGCCCGTCGCAAGTCGGCCCTCTCCATGTTGTTTCAGTCTTTTGCAGTCATGGGAGTTGTTACTTTCCAGTGGATGTTCTGGGGCTACACGCTCGCGTATTCTCGCACTGCCAGTCCGTTTATTGGCAACATGGATAACTTTGGCCTCAAGAACGTCATGTCTGCGCCATCTCCCGGCTCATCGTTCTTGCCCGAAATCGTCTTTTGCCTGTATCAGATGCTGTTCTGTGCATGCACTGTGCAGCTCGTCATCGGTGGATCATTTGAACGCGGTCGCATCCTACCTTCAATGGTCTTTGCCTTCTGTTGGGCGACTATCGTGTACTGCCCCATCGCATGCTGGACATGGAACGCGTAAGTGTCGCGATTATGATCATTGAACTGAGCTAATTGGATTATAGAAACGGTTGGCTGTTCAACCTTCCTTCACTTGACTTCGCCGGTGGCGGTCCTGTTCACATCGCGTCCGGCTGGTCCGCCCTCGCATACGCTTTCGTCCTCGGCAAGCGTCTACACAAGGGTGACAAGATTCACGGAAAGGCTCACAACCCCACACTGGTCTTCATAGGCACTGTCTTCATCTGGTTTGGTTGGTTCGGCTTCAACGGAGGCAGTGCTCTCAATGGCACAGTCCGCTCCATGCTGGCGGCATTCAACACCAACACCGCCGCTAGCTTCGGTGTGCTCGGTTGGACATCGGTTGAGTACGTCCGTACCAAGGGTCACTTTTCCGTCGTCGGTGCCTGCTCTGGAGCCATCGCTGGCCTTGTCGGTATCACTCCCGCTGCAGGTTACGTTTCTGTGTGGATCGCTGCCCTAATTGGCTTTCTCACTGCGGCTATCTGTTCTCTTTGCCAGAACGTCGACAAGTGGATCAAGATCGATGAAGGCATGGATGTCTTCAAGCTCCACGGAATCGGTGGCATGGTTGGTTCATTCCTCACCGGCATCTTCGGCCAAGCCTGGATCTATGACCTTGACGGCATGGGCCCCTACGACGGCCTCGGTGGCATGGACGGTGTGGGCGTTCAGATCGGCCGCCAACTGGCCGAGATCGTTGCCATCGCCGCGTACTCATTTGTCGTCTCCTGCATCCTTCTGTACGTCCTGAAATTCATTCCTGGCATGCATCTTCGTGTCACCTCAGAGGCTGAGATGATGGGTCTGGACTACGATCAGTTTGGCGGTGAGCAGATTGGCGACTGGAGTATCATGGACCAGAACCACTACGAGGCGAATGTCAGCAGCTCAAGCAGTCAGAATGTGCCTACCTCCGTTCCTGCGGCAGCGGTCGGCAAGCAATCGTAAAGGTTGGTTGTATTCACCTAGTACTAGGTGTTGGAGCAGCGCGGTCAGCGCTGCGGTTGGCTGTTAAGATTGCATAACAACATACAAACGAAGGCTCTTCCACTGGCGATCATTGCACGATGTGGACAGAGACTTTATCAAATTCATACATTTATCACTCTTAGATATATTAATCGTCGTTCATTCCCTAGCCTCAACTGTGCGTATCGTCCATGCGAAGTACAAGAGGACAATTCACCATGATTCTGTACAACCCTCTATTGACCCATTCGAAAGCGTAGCTCGTGTTCAGCGGGCTTATATATACCAACAACATCTCTCGAAACGGTTCACAAGCGGTAGCTCTCAAGATGATCATGCATCTGAGGTTGCGCTATTCCCGAACAACTCATTGATGCTACGTGGCAGCGGCGGTAATCTTGGAGGAAACAGATCATAAACTGTATCTTCGTCTGATGAATCATCATCTGACTCAAAGACGGTCTGGCGACGTCTGACGTCAGGTCGGTGCCCCATGAAGGGCGCCCTGCTGGGGAGTGAAGTCATTAGAGACACCGAATGTGTGTGAGAAGGTCGAAGAGCCGCGACGGAATTCGGCTGTAACGCACTCATGACCGTGTGAGACATCATGACTTCGGACTTTCCGGTCAAATCCGTGTTCCTTGGAAGTGGCAGGCGCGTTCGATGTCCGCGGCCACATGTGAGCGAGTTGACGGAGATAGGAGCCCTTGGTGTTGCGGAAGGACATATCGAGGATGACGATGTAGATGTTGAGCAGCCGCGCTTTGATGATGAAGAGCTGAGATCTGTGCTTGACAAAACCTGAACTGGCATTGTGACATGTAGAGCGGCATGCTTTGTCGTGTCCAAGTTACTGACATTGAAGCATGCATTGCCGGTAGCAATCAAATCGTCAGAAAGTCTCAGTACCACCAATTGCGCACGTCGTAGCTTTAGAGACTGCGCAACATCATGTCGAAATGGGAGGAGTTCCTCGGCGCTGAAGTCGCCCGTATGCCGAGTGAGACCGGCGAAGAAGTCTATCATGAACTTTTCGATCTTCGTGTGAGTGCCAATGTGGTCCTCTAAATATCGAAAGGGTTCGTGTTCTAGGGGTATTTGGGCGTGAGCGTCCAGTAGCTCAAGGTAGAATGCGCGATAAGTATCTACAAGCTTGTTTTGTAATCGTACATCGTCGAGCATGTCTGCGAGATGCCACGCCTTGGCCAGCTTAAGCATCGCGTCACAGCTACCTGTGAGCTGCTTTAAAGGGGTTTTCGCACTTGGTCGCAGTCGCCGTAAAAGAGTGCTGCTACCCATGTAGTCCAGGATGATCTCAAAGACAGCGGCGTCGGTGTTCATAATCCTGCATCCCTGCACGAGACGCGCACGCAGTACTGGACATGCCTTCAGGGCCGAGCCAGGGATCTGGATAAAGCGGGCATGGGGTGGTTTACCCACTCGAACTTCGATATCGTTGGTGACCGGAGTTCTAATGCGCGCCTTCGCTGGAGAAGTATAGACAGTAGGTATATCTGTATTTGAGGAGCTTGTAGAGTATCGTCCGTTGAAGTGAGATCGATCGCCGAGTGTCGCCTCAAGTGGAGTGACCATTGTCAAGATACGATTGGGAATTTCCTGTTCGGGTTGAAAGCGTGGGATAGTAGAAGTAGACTATTGCGGTGGGTAGATCGTGCCACCAGTCTCTAATGTTTGTTGGAAGCTGGAGAAGTGAATGAGAAAATGGTGCAGCATTAATACACATGACCTGTATGTGAGATCCCATGGGTAGGCCTACGACTTGAGAGGTAGAGACTCCACGATTCCTCTGGTTCAGTGGTGAACGAACCAAGGTACATGCTTCGCTTCATCCTCTACACATTTTGCTCTATTTCAAGCTGTGTCTGGCGTAGGGCATTGATAGAAGCTCACAAGTGTTGAGTACATATTTTCAAATGTACTCCAACATGCTGTGAATGAAAACGCACAGTCTCCATACTGATGGAAACCATATAATACGGGTACCCTGCAGATGTTGCGAACACTGAAGATGGGTGTAAACAACACCTTGCGTGAGTAGCACCGCAAACTTCATCCGCTGTGTAATGCTGGCATCCGGGTTTTCCGATCAATCGAACATCCGTGAAGAGTTATCGCACGGCGAGCATGGTGTTGTAGGAGCCACAGTAAGATATTGCTGCATGACGTATGAGCAGCTCGAAGTTACCAACAGCGATTGCTGGATCCCAATTGAGGATAAGGCGGTGCTACGGACACGCAGATGCAGTTGTTGCGCGAAGGAGTGCACTCTCAATTTGCAAAGGTCCAGCGGTCACGGGGGCTGATGCTCAGATGTAGAAGAGGGCAAAGGTAGCCGGCACGCCGGGGATGGATCCAGGAGACGACTTTGCACGGACCATGTGCTAGTCGGCCCGATGCCAAATGCAAACCTCGCGTCATTGCCCCTACATCTCAACCACGCGCAACAGTTACTCGCGCGTCATGTTTGCATCCAAGATTGCCGGGTCATCATTGCGGTCCGCGTGCTACGCGTCTCGGTTGCCGGCGGTTTCTACCTTCCGTCCTGCTGTATCACAGCTCCGTCGCCTTTCCAAAAACCGCGTACATCGTGACCAGCAAAGGAACGATGCCCAAAAGTCTACTCACGAGCAACCATCTGTCTTGGTAGACGTATCTTCGCCCATCGATCATACTACCGAAAACGCAACACCTGAAAGTCCTACGAGGGTTAGGTATCTTCGCCCTGCACTTTGGGCTCTCTCGGTATCCTGCGGCATCTTTTACGGTCTCGCCTACCTAGAGGCCAAGAGAGAGCTTAAATCAAAGCCGGCATCTGGTGGAGGGTGGTTTCAGGCACCGCAATGGACTACAACACAACGCCGACCTCCTACTCCAACTGAAGTCGTAACTGGAGCGTGGACCGGTCTCGATCCCATTTCGAGAGTCACGTACGGACTTATCGGGGCCAATAGCGGTGTTCATCTCAGCAGCTTTCTCGTGCCTAAAGCCTGGGATGCACTATGGCATACACCCGCTCGCAACGTCAACTACACTCAATTCACATCCATGTTTGTACATGCTGGAGCTTTGCATTTCTTCGTCAACATGTATTTCTTGAACAACTTCATGACGCCAGTCGGATACTCGCGACTGTTCGAGGGTAGCCCATATCATACGTTGTCGTTTTTCCTCTCGGCAGGTGTCTTGTCGGGCTTTGCTCAACACTGGCAGACGTGGAGTACCCGCATACCTTTCCATCGGCGGCCCATCCCCGAGATCTTCATCAAGTCCGGAGGTGCGTCAGGGGCACTTTTCGGAATCTTAGGAGTGTTTTGCATGCAATACCCGAACGCTGGAATAGGTATATTGTTTATTCCAGTACACTTCGATGCGCAATATGTACTGCCTGCGATCCTTCTTTTCGATCTCGTTGGCATCATTCGCGGCTACAGCTTCGTGAACTTTGGCCACGCAGTAAGTTCAACGCGCATGACTCCATGGGATTTACTAACATCATTAGGCTCATTTCGCCGGCGGAATGCTTGGCATAGCATATTCATACTTTGATGGTAAAACAAACCTTTGGAAACCGCTAGTGCGCCACTGGAAACGCCGCCTACAGTCCTAGATCGTTGGGGATTGGAACTCATGAGGGACGAATCAAACGGCCAGTTGGAAAGCAGCAAACTTCCAGACAATTTACAACGGCGTCGAGAGTCCTAACAAGCCACATCCACGATGGACACTCCTTTCAGTACATGCATTAGGACAAAGAACACAAACATTATCAAACTTCACATCGCTCCAAAAGATGGGTAGTCGTGTTTACATCGGAAACATCAGATGGTGCATTTCTTTCACGTGGTACAAACGGATGGTGCTGTGACCGATAGCTTAAAAGAGCAGGTATCTCACAAGCCCAATGTCTTCTCGAAGGAGACATCGCAACCATCAGCGACTCACATGACCATACGACACCAAAACATGCCTTTCAAGACTCCGAATAGAAGTGTCACTATCACGGTCAAATCCGACAACGGGCACCTTATACCGATCAAACTCAATGAACGCGTACTCAGAAGCTGTGAGACAATCAACGCAATGCCCTCAGGTACCACACTGCCAGAAGTGCATGTGAAGCCTTTTCAGGCTGTGACGAGTTATCTGGACGGCAACGATCTTCCGGCGGTCTTCGCGCGTCACGTCGACAGCAGTGCGCCTTTGCTCCTCTTCGCTGAAACGTGGGCGCTAGCAGCGCGACTTGTTCTTCCTATCTTGCAAAATGAGCTCATATCGTTTATGACCAAAGTCCATGCCAGCATCATTGACGGGAGCGAAACAGACGGGCGCTGGCAGTGCACGGCCGATGGGTCTCTTGTCGAAGCTTTCCGGCATCTCCGAGAACAGGTCGGGGCGAATAGTCATGCCGAAAAGTTCCTCATATGTTTTGTTGGCCGCACAGCACTGTTCATCAGCGAACTGGAACAAAATCTCACCCGCGAACATCTGGACCCTGCTATCCGAAAAGAAATATTGGACGAAGCACGATCCTTCAATGCGGATCCCATCAAACATCAGCCACAAACATTCCGTATCAACCCCCAACAGCCACCAAATTATCGACGCCTTGAGCAAGACTGTAACGACAGAGGTATGGCTGATGGGTTCTGGTCACCCTCCGGGGCGTCACGCTCAATTACCAGGGACGACATGTGGAACGTGCCTCCACAACACCCTAGATCTCCGAAATTCATGTACCCGCGGCCACGCAGCCCGCTTTCCAATCGATTCGACCACGGCTCAGGTCCACTAGTATGCACACAGCCTGGAGACCCCAGTGATCCAGATCCAGGGTACACATCGCAGGCCATCAATTTCGATGATCGCAATCTTGCCACTGGCGCTGGTGCTAACGTGATCCGACTGACAGGTCAAGGCCCAGGCGGCCCACGATCGCTACCTTCCCCGGCCAATCATCATCATGACACCACATTACCCTACATCATCCAAATCACGCAGCACAACGATAACGCTCATGGAAACGGGAACCACACTCACTATGGAGACAAACACAGTTCGACTGCACATGCTCAGGGTGGTAGTAGTGGACGCTCAAACCGGACTGTTCGAGCAGTAGCGGATAGCGGAGAACGGCGCTACAAGCTCATCAGGGAGAGGAAGGGAAAGCAATCCAAATGGTTTTCGCTCTTGGCATACGGCAGCAAGTACTATTAAGAGCAAAGTGCGTGTTGCGAATGCCTTTGGCTTTATTGGTAGACTCTTTGTTCACATTCGCGCATGCCGTTGCGTCATCATAATATAGTTCCAACCAATGACTCGCTTATCAATCAAACCATCTTGTTACCATGGAATGTTCAATCTTTACGCGCGATACCATACCCCAAAGAACCATCTCCTGACCCTCTCCCTCTTACTCATCCTGCTTTTCGCGCTACCCATCTTCAGCTTATCGCTATCCTGACGGATTAGGTCGATGCTATTGATCGTGCGCAAAGCAAGACCACCCAAGCCTTCCACGTCCACGTCTTCTTCGTCCTCTTCCGGAAATTCCCCATCGCACATTTTTTCTAGATCGCTCTGTGGAAGACAAAGTCCAATTTTCGTCCTCTTTCGTCTCTCGATGACGAGACTGTCGATTGCATGGAGAGCTAGGGAAGAGGTGTACTCAGCATCTTTGATGCTCTCTTCCGCTGTGTTGTATCGTGCCTTTGGTCGTGGAAACGAAGGCGCTCTTGCGTGGCACCGTGTGAGTGGATATGTAGAGGTGTTCTCAGCATCTTGGATTTCCTCTTCCGTTATGCTGTATCTCGTCTCTGTCGGTGAGTATGAAGGCGCTCTTGCGTGACAGCGTGTGAGTGGGTATGTGGAAGCGTGAACACGGCTGTGTACGGTGTTGGTGGGAGATGACATGTCTGCGTAATATGCGCTTGGTCTTTGGATTTTGGAAATTGAAGGTGCTCGATAGTAGTTGAGAGCTGATATGGCTCTCGCTTTGATCAAGGCTGGAGATAACCGGTAGCGTGAAGGGCTGAGATCAAGTAGAGTGTGGTAGAGAAGGGATGCGGAAATATGAGAATCAAAATTAAGAGAAAGAGAGCACGACTGATAATAGATTTGGATTCCAAAAGCTGCGGCTTTATTTTCCCGCAAACTATGGGAGCCTTGATGAAGGTACCTTGGTTTGATGTGTTTCATATGCCCATACATTGGTCCCAAACATGCCATCTCCTATTTCACATTACTCATCCCTCATCTCCTATTGGAAGCGAGAACTTTACGTCAGATGTACCGAATGTAGGCCAAAACAGCCACTCGGATGGTACAAGCCTCAAAGCATGCGTCGCATCTCATCAGACATCGGGAAATCAACAGCGGCTCCCGCGAACTTGATGCCAATAGCCCTAACCTTCTCTTTCAGTTGCTTATGTAACTGTGCAGGCATGGAAGATAGCCCGCCAAGTTCTTTGACCTTCTCTCTAATCTCGGGGGGTAGCAATGTAAGGTAGTCCATGTCGGGTGAGTTCATCATCTGCCTGAGCTTCTCATCAAACATCTCTTCGAATTCTTCCGCGTTCAGCCCATGTGAAGAGCTGCAAAGATGCTCCATGGGGATATCGGTATAGCCTAGTCCACGTAGCGTCTGACATGCAAGTATCTTCATCTGCTGTTCACATGATGTGCAGTACCAGCGCGACACCTTCTCCACACCTAGCTTCTTTACACATGACTTGTGGAAGTACGTAGTAGTACAGTCACGGTGTGAGCAGACGACAGTGTCCTTCGCGGGTAATCCACCCTTTGGTGCGGTAGCACGACAGTAGCAAATGCACTCCGTACCCAGACGCTCGAGTTCGTTGTGCTGGATATCCTGTAACATGACCTGAGTGAGCTTCTGTTTGCTGAATCCGTTCTTTGCATAGAGTCGCTCGAATCGAAGCTCTTGAGCCATTAGTGCTCCGGGGTTGAGGCCAATCTTAACGTCGTCGTACTCTTTCTGCAGACGATCAGGTACGCCATCTGGGTTGCGATTGCGTGCTCGCATAGTGGGGTCTTCGATGAGATAGTTGATCAGATCATCGTCTACCAGCATCAAGCGGCCCTTGGTCCGATGATCCTTCTCGTACAGTGATAGTAGTTTCTCTCCACGGAGGCGGTTGAAAGGCCCAGTGCTACACAAGTCTAGGCATGGCATCACCAGGTAGCATTGATCTCCCAGAGGATCAACGCAGGGACAGTCTACGTCAGAGTCAGTATCCGCTGCTAAGTGCCAGTTGCGATGCACTTACGAGGCTCATGAAAGGGACAATCAAGGATGTCGTTATTTTCAAACGAACATGATGTGCTGTGTGAACAGCCATTCCATGACGGCGGGAACGGATTTGTGAGTTGATCGCTGAGAAATTGACGGATGAATCTAATCCAGTGCATATGTTTGCCGTGTTTTGTGATAGGTAGTACGTGTTTAGGCAGAGGTATTGGAGACACTCCCTTAGCGAATGCCGTGTCCGTAGAGACCGGCTCTGATACTGCCTCGGTGGACGCATCGTGACCACCGGCGATCGAGATGTACGGTAGCGCATCTTGAGAACTGACCTGGTCCTTGGTGTAGAGCATAGTCTCAGGCGGCGTGTAACCAGCTTGTGCTACAACGTCACCCACATCATGGACATCTTCAGTGGCTTCATTGCGAATATCAGCAGGACTGATAGCTGACTCCGGTGCAGACTGCTTCTTTGCCTTGCGCTTCGCCTCTCGTGCCTTCTTAGCCTTCTTCCTCTGCGAGATTGCGGGATGGCCGTTGACAGAGTCTTCCGCCTCGGTCACAAAACTCTCGGGCGCTGACATACCCCAAGTCTTTGGAGGTTTGACTGCTGGAGCTTGGCTATAAGACTCATCTGAAGAGCTCCGCGTCGTTGAGAGATCTGGGAAGTCGCGCAAGTCGGAAAGCCACGGAGTCGGTCCAGGCCGAGGTGCACGAGCCGGAGGCTTACTTGGAATGTTACCCCAAGCGCGCGTCTTTGCTACCGATTTTGTTGGTGTTACCCCATTTGTGACGACCTGCCATCCATCGGGAGCTGGTTGTGGTTTCTTGATCCGGCCAGGCACTGTAGTCGGCCCCCGCTCCGAAGCCTTGACGTTGATCACCAGAACCGCAGCTGGATGTCTGTTCAAGGTTGGAGCGGGTGGCAAAGGTAATAGCGGAGTATGATATGGCTCGATGTCTGCATGGTAGAGTCCGTCATCGCCGTTCACGCGCTTGTGGTTGCTCTCAAGATGCCTTCGGTCAGAGGTGTCAAGGGCACTGGACCGCCGCGGCGACTGGTCATCGTCCTGATCACTAAGTCTCTGTCAGTTTTGGTAATGGTTGAATCGCGCACCAAACTTCGGCAGCGTTTTGTGGCGCTTTCGCAAGACTAAAGATGAGGGTAAGGGCAACGAACCTGACTAGTGGAGCAGTCTCATCTGTGGGGGTGATAACGCCACTGAAATCACTCAGACTAGACGCGAACTTCTCGCCAGTTTTCCAGTCCTTTCCAGTATACCTCTCTTCTACGATACCGTATGCGGTCTTACTAGTGTATCGGAGATAACCTGCCCGTCGCATTCGCACTTCGGCATTGTCTTTCTTGACCAAAACGATGTCCTCCAGGATGGCTTGCTTGAATGTGTCGACGAGACCTTGGAACATCTTGAGTTCTTTCCCTTGTAGACCCTTCGTCTTGGTGTTACGCCTAAGTAGCTCGTTGATACGGAAGGTTTCCAAGATGCGGTCCATTTCGGCTTCGAAGTCAACGTCTAGAGCCTCCGCAGGTGCCTCGGCGAGCTTTCTAATTCCCTTGCGGCTGACTTGCGTGCTGTATACATGGGCGTGGTACTGTGGAGTAGTCAGTAATTCGAACAGAGTAGATAGCAAAGCGACAAACTCAGCACCTACACGAAGCTGTCGCTCAATCTCCTCGATCTCTTCCGGATTCCGCGGCCCGTCCGCGTCGTTGCTCGTTATGCCTTCAGCTGAATGTACAATCGAGTCGATGTATCTGATCTCCTCCTGCGTGATGACTCTGGATCTACTCGCCGCTCTTGCCAGACGCTTTGCATCCTTCCGCTCACGCTTCGAGGATGGAGCGTCGTCATCGCCGAGATCTCTCGCTCTTCCACGTTCGTCTAGCTCAGATTCGTCCGGTACGATGTTCCAGTCGACCTCGCCACAACTCTCATAGACGGCTCGTAAGCGCTCGGCAACGTCGTGATGACGCTTGTAGTGTTGCTCATCAATGCCCATGCAGTACTTGCAAGTATGGCCGCGAAGTCGCATGAACATAGCCTGGAGAGGTTAGTGCATCGTTCGCCGGGGGTATGTCCCATGCAACGAACCTGATGGAAGCGCACGCATGGCTCGCTATGCTTGCCGAAACAAGACGCCCTCGCGCCGGGGTGGCTCAACGGACGCTCGCAAAAGCCGCAGTGGTGTCTATTGGATTGTTATTAGCGACCGTCTGCTTTTGGTGGTTGCCTCCGGACTGCGTCCCGGTGGCCCAAACAAACAAACACCGGACCAGCGACTCACTTGAGTGCCTCTGAATCCTCCCACTTGAAGAGAAGACTGTTGACCATCTTGAATCAGTCTGCGCTTTCGAGATCGATCGCGACCTGGGTAGGCTGGTGGCGGGAAGGCAGAGCAGCTAGAATTGGATGCTTTGAAATTGTGAGCGGGGAATGCACGCGCGATTGAGTCGATAATTCTGCTTGGGCACGGAGTGCAGTGGAGAAGACGCGCAATTGTTTGGGATTGTTGGTGGTAGTGTAGCGGGGCGAGGTGCAATGGCTGTTGACTGGTGTAACAGCGTATTCAGGGCTGCTCCGAGGCTGACTACGTAATTGTGCGGAAAGAGCGAGTGACTGCGACAACACAACAATAAAATGACTTATGTAGAGACAGCAACCAACAAGACTTGCGCAAATATCATTCGTGTCCGATTAAAAAGAGTGCCTCCGGGTCGTTATGGGGAAACGACTCGTCGTCGTTGCGGTGAAGAATGCAGCGAACCGACCATCCGCGAGGTTTCGCGTTGTTGCATCATAACGGCCAGGATTAGACAGGATTTTGACACCATACAAACGCGAGAACCACGAATCAGGTACCACTGCTAAGCATCCGACACAATGCGCGCGCCTGCCCAGACATAGGGATAGTTGCGTTGATACCAGTTGACGCTTCGACACGTTAGCCATGTGGTCTCAGCTGCAGCCACTGTCGTCCACTTACAAAGTCTTGCGCCCAGCGATGCGCGGATGCGTCGCCCACGATCCACCCAGCGTGACGTTGTGTTTACCGTCGAAGAAATCGGCTGCCTGCTGTCAGCGACATCGTCTCACCATGTGTTGGGGAGCAGAAGCCCGTCGCATTGCATCATACCTGTATAGCCTGGATACAACTCCATCGGCTCGAAGCCGTCATGCTTCTCCAGCACAGTGCTAGTCCATTCCCAAACACCACCCAGGTCAGATTGGCCGCAGAGCTTGTTGCCCTTCTCGACCACTGAAACTGGATGCCAGTGTTTGAAACCCACGTTCGTTCCCTCAAGGTCAATGAAGAGATTGCGTGGGTTGAGACTAGATACTGCGCCAGAGTCGCCGTTTGACAAAGCTTGGGATGGCGGCGTCTCAAAAACGCCTTCGTTGATCAAATGGCTGTGGACTGTTAGTCAAGAGTCTACGAGGATGGGTAATACGCATCATACCCGTTCACGGCTGGAATCGTGTTTCCAAGCGAGCTCTCAAACTCGGGCTTCATGCTGTCGACATAGCTGTAGATGCTTCGTGCCTCTTCCAGGGTAGGAATGCGACCGCCCATCCAATGCGCGCAACCAGCTAATTCGTCGTAGGAGGCAACTACAGGCCAACCCATGACGAATTTCAAGGGAACAGTACCGTAGACAGTGCGTACGAACTTTCCTTCGGTGATGCTCCGGGATGAGCCATTGACACCTTCATGGTGGCCGTTTAGCACGCTGTCTCTCTTGCCAGTGCTCAGGTCCTTGGCATTTGAGTATGGCTGTTCGCACCACGACGCAGGTATGGCTGGATTCGACAAGTTAGCAGACAAGCTCAGACTTTCGATCAATACATGCGATAATGCCCGCTGCAGTGGCTACATACCAGTCTTTCCTGTCTTAGACAGATATGTGGCATACTCCCCGTTTGTGATTGGCCGAGCCTTTGCGCGGAAGGACTTGACATGTGCTGAGCGGCGGGGTCTCTCATTATCCCAGCCAAAGTAACGCTTGGTCTCAAAGTCATTCTCGGGATCTTCGAGACCAATGTCGACGTCCGCTTCGGGAATTGTGAACCACTCGTTCGCGGTTGCTAGGGTCTCAGATTGCGCCGCAAACGCCGCAAAGTCTGGAACTTTGGTTCCTGGAGGTGGCAAGACCTTGTCGCTCTGAATCAGCATGTACAGCAACGTCTCCAGGTGCATTGCTTCATGTTCAAAGCCGATCCACAATGCTCGCGATACACGACCGTTCGACTCTGCTTCTCCCGAAGTGTACAGCGCCTCAACCTTTTGTCGCACAGTCTCTTGAAACTTCAGGATTGTCGCCAGCGGGGGCCACTCTTCCGGAACCTCGGAGTGAGCATGACACTGAGTTGGGTCTTCAACATCAGGGTCAACACCACGTTCGAAGATCTTCCAGAAGTAGGCAGGGTCTGACGGCTTGCCATCGGTGGTACGGGCGATGTGAATGTCCAAGAATGTAGGAATATGGCCAAGGTAAAAGATGCACTCGTTGCGAAGCTTGATGGGCTTGGACAGTAGCTCTTCCTCGGGTATCATGTCCTTCGTGACCGCGTCCCAGGCCGTCCAAAGCTCACGCCACTCGGCCAAAGATGGCACTGGCTTCGCTGCGTATTCCTCGGGCTTGGTAGGGAAGAACATTGCAGGCTTTGAGACGAAATGCAGGCCGTAGTCGCCCTTCGAGTTTGCCCACACAACGTTCTCTGCGAGTTTGGCCAATTCCCAAAGCTCCTTTGCTTCCTCGCGACTGTACTTGTAGGATTCTTCGATACGAACTCTCTCGCCCTGCTTGATATGGATACCGTCAACGACAGTGTCCTTGCGTGGTGCGACAAAAGCGTGATGTCTTCCGGCTTGTTGGTCGTACTCTCCAATAGCTTCCCAGTCCTGGATGTCGAAAGCTTCCTCGCCCATGAGTGCGTTTGCGTGCTTTAGCCCGTTGAGGATGAACCTGTGGGTTACACCGCTACGATCGTTGTATGCATGGTAAACACGCTAGTATTGGAACTAGGTCAGTGGGTGTTTGCATGCCTGTGGGGACAAGATATTTACCTCGGGATCCTTGCACGAATCGATACCGATAAGCATGGTATCACCAGTCTGGAGAACCGCACCAAATCCAGCGAGGAATGGCGCGACTTCATGGCGCTTGAAGTTGCCCAAGCTGGAGCCCAGCCAAAGGATGGTTTTCGGTTTCGCTTCGATTTCGGGAGTCTTCAGCCACTCAAGGGCATCATCATAGGTGCCATATAGGCCAAAGCATTTGACGTGCTTGTACCCTTCTGCATGCTTGATTAGCGAGTTTCGGGCGGTCGGATTGCCCCGTATCGTGCAATGATAAGGAGATAAGTGTCCGAGCCACTACTATCTTGGGTGCATGTATGCAGGTTCGCGTCCGTCTAAGCCACATTCACAGGAAAGTGATGCAAACGTGTCGCACTATACAAACCCCACGACTCCCCTCAATATCAAGCATGATAGAATGAACCCTCACCTGTAGGTATTTCCCCAAATGTTCTCTCCAGCTCCGGCAGGGAAAGATCGACAGCATAATACTCGACGTCCTTGCCAAGACGGTCGACGGCTTGCAAGAGTATATTTACTTTTCTGAGGTTGCTGCAAATACATTAGTATTCACGAAGCACAGGGCTCGTTTCCAATCTCTTGCGAAGTGCGAGCCAGGACCGTACCCGCTCCCCAGTTCCACGACAATGGACCCCGTCGGGATTCGTTCGGCGATTTTCTCCGCATACGTCTCAAGGACTTCAATCTCGGCATTCGTTAGGTAATACCTAACATTGCGAACATCTATCAGCTTGGTGTTCATATAAACCAAGGATGAAGCTGCTCACTCTTCTTGGTACGTGATCTCTTCGAAGAGACGAAGGCCTTCCTGGCTAAGAGAAGAAACAAAAGGTTAGCGCGCATCATGGGCTGGCTGAATTGTTGCTTACTCATAAAGCAGCAACGTAGGCAGCTTCTTTTCGCCGCCATCCTCAGGGCGGAGGCCCTTCTTGATATCCGCGAGGATATCCGACTCGGCAGTGTCTGTGCGTATGTCGATTATTTTGGTCGCCATCTCTCTGGAATGTTTGGTATTGGATACTGTAGTCAATCGGTATGCCCCTCAAGAGCCGGTCTACTAGATGCGTCTTATGCCGAGGGTCGCGCGATACTTATACAGCGCGTAAAAGTACGTAATGTGGGTACTCGGACGCTTATGCCGTGCGGTAGCTGACGGTAACTAGAGGGCCGGTAACTGTTCAAACGGAATAGTGTAGAATGCATTGCTCCGTCAGAACATGTACTGTTTGGCTAGCGGCTGTGGTGGTAATATCACTTGCAAACACGCGACAAATCAGACACGCTTCCTTCTCACGGTCAACGGCGGTGCGAGGAAACGCCTGTTCGAGTCGAGCACATCATCGGCAACAACCCCACCGAGCCAATTTACTCTGTTCCAATGCCATCCGTAGGCATGGTAGCTGGAACATCAAGCATTGCTACGAGACCATAATGATGACGTCAATGTGTGCCGGCTAGGGAAAGGACGGAAGTCCGGGAGCAGAGGCAAAGAAGGTCTCGAAAACCGACGCCAAACCACAGCGTTCAGGAACATGCTGCAGGGCAGGCTGAGGCTGTTCCTCGGTCGCAAACTCTCGCCGTCCGTAACATGTTCGTGGATGACCACACTGCCTGCTGCGGGGTCGATGCCTTACTGCATAAGCGATGCCGTCACAGTGGAGTCGCGAACTTGTTGACACATTACCGTGCGCTCAATCATGGCTGGGCATGGCAATGTGATTGGTAAGGCGAGTGACTTGCTGGACGCGGTTGACATTGGCGTAGGCGACATGGAGAGTGTCAGGTACAAGCGTATTAACGAGCAGAAGCATGAGGGCAGCAACAGTGACGACCGTGTGATGCAGAACAATCACGTGATCGGCTGTGGGCCTTGGCTCCACGACTGGGCAATAAAATTACGATGACGCGAGGTGCAGCACCAGCGCGGAACAGCAGCGCGC